TCCATGGGGACAGAAGTGACCAGATGCTGGTGGGATGGAGGCCACTCCTGAGGCTCTTCAGGCCCCCGGCAGGAATGAACTGCCCCCAGTGGGCCTACTGCCCCCGAGGAAGCAGGCCCAGGGGACCCTGTGGCTGGGGCGCTAAGTGATACTCTGGGTTTTCAGGTGTGGAAGTTAAATAAATTCCTCGAGTTAAATGGCCCAGATGTGGATTTTGTGAGTTTTTACAAAAACAGCCCGGCAGGCAGGGCTCTGGAAACTCCGGGCGTGGCTCCTGTTTGGGTGCAGATGTCTAAACAGAAGCGCAGAGCAGAACGCCGGGGTGTAGACAGGCGGGGCTACGAGCAGGTGCACCAAGGCGCGGAACGACGGGGTGTCCTGAGACACAGGCTACCTGCTTCTCCGTGGGTGCAGGTGCAGCTCCCCACTTTCTCCCTGTGGGGTGGGGTGGGGCCTCCCGGTGAAGACAGGCACACTTCCCTCTCCGGGCTGCCATGCCCGGTTGTTCAGGCTGGGAACTGCACGACTGCTCCCGTGGGGCTGATGGAGGCCCCTCGGTGACCTGTGCTGGCTTCGCGGGCCTCGCTGGCTCAGAAGCGGAACCGCAGGGGACTTGTGCGTTGGCCATGCCCAGCTGAGATGTACCTGCGCATGCGCCTTGCCCCTTCCCGCGGTGCTGTCCCCCCTTACCCCCATGTGTTCGGTGACCCCGGCCTGCTGGCCTCACTGCTCCCGGTGGTGGCGCCTGTGCTTGGTTGCTGTCCGCTCTCAGGGCGGTGCACAGACCTGGCCATGCTTTAACACAGCCGCTCAGGTTGGACCTGCACACTTTGCCGCCTCCTCCCACCTGAGGGGGGGTCTGGGGGGTCACGGGGCTCCCCGGGCACGCTGGGCTGCCCTTGGCCTGGGCAGGGGCAGGTTGGCGCCGTCGTATACCTCAGCCCCGTGCCTATGAAACCAGGTCCACAGTGGTCAGGACCCACCTGGAGCTCCGAGAGTCTGGGGGCCCCGAGGCACCCCTGCTCGCGCTCCGAACCCCTAGACCCATTCTCCGCACGCTGGGCCTCCAGGTCCCCAGGGGGTGTTGGCACGGACACCCTGCAGGCGGGAAGTTGACTGGGTAGGGAAGCAGTGCCTGCACCAGCCCCTGACACTGCTTCTGTCTGGGGTTCCCTTTTCAGGACAGCGGGGGTGCACCCTGGAAGTGGCCTTGTGGCCACCCCCAGCCTGCCTGCCAGGTGTCTGCACGGCCACGTCCTGTGGACTGTGCAGGCCTGGGCCACGAAACCTGCTGAGTCAGTGCTGGCCTCTCAGCCCGGGCCCTCGGGGACCCCACTTCTCCTCGGGGTGCGGATAGCGCTCCATTTGCAGAGCACTGCGGGTTCCACACACAGCTTCAAGGGCGCACAGCGAGCGTTGCCTTAGCTCGCTCCGGGATGCAGGGGGAAGGCGGACGGTTGGGGCGGCCCGGAAACAGCAGTGGGGGAGCAGAGTCCACTTGCCTGGCCCAGGGCAGCCCGAAAGCTGCGGCTTTCTGAGGTGTCCTCGCCCCAGGACCTGAGCCGCAGGTGCGTGAACCGGAGGACACTGAGGTGTCCCTGCAGTGCAGCGGCGTTACTGGGACGGAGGAGCTGATTGGAGAGCTGCTCCAGACCCCGTCTGTGCACCTCTCCCGGATTCTGTCCTCTCCTGTTGTACTGATGAGGCCCACACCCCGCCTTTTATTTACTTGATGTTACTTACTTTTCATTTTTAAATTTTGACGGTTGTTAAGTTGTCCAGGCTGGGCTGGTCCTCTTGCCTCAGCCTCCTGTGAGGCTGGGATACAGGCCTGCACCCCCGGCACCCCTGGCTTTTTTTGGCCTTCTTTGGGAAATAAGCTATTATGAACAAGTCACTCGAAGTGAATCTGTCCTCAGAAAATGGGGAGGGGAGAAAAGTGTTTGTGTTTCTTCCGAAGCTGCCTGATCCCTGGACAAATCAAACATTAATATAAACAGTGTGCAAAATTTATGGGCTGTGACACTCAGCTAGCTTTAATAAGAGCCGCTGAATGAAGTCTTTTCTGTGGGTACTGAGGGCGTGTGGGGCAGGGCCACCAGCCACTCCCTGGGCCATGAGGGACCTCCCTGCTGTGCAGGCCAGGGCAGCCCGACCCAGGGTGGGCGGCGTGTTACACTGTGGCTTCTCATTGAACCCTTTTTTCTCTTCTTCTGCCCTCCACTCAGTTCTGTCCAAACACTGACCCCCCATCTCGTCCCTCTGAAGTGACAGCGCGGGCTCAGGCCAGGTCTCTGCCTCTCAGGACCTGCCAGGAGGGATCCTGTGTGCAGCTAAGGACACAAATGGAAAGACGGTCTCCGCCACACAGAGCCTGAGTGGTGTGTTCAGGGGCAGGGAGAGCTCTTGGGGTGCCCTTGGGCCGAGATGGGGTTCTGGAGCTCACCATGCACAGGCCTGGGAGGAGCCTTCCAGCAAAAGGATGCCTGTGCAAAGGCCCTGGAGCAGGAGCAGGCAGGATGCACGGAGCACACATCCTGAGCTCAGAGGACCGATCAGCCTTGGCAGGGTGTCACCACAACGCGTGTTGAATCACACTCAGGTCTCCATCGTGTGCTCAGCTCCCGGGAGCTTCTCTGCCTTTGTGGCTCCCCCTCCCTGAGTACGGGGCGGGTTTCCCCAAGGGTCCCCAGGACAGAGTGCCTTGGAGTGAGGGTCTTCAGCCCCTGCACTGGGCCGCATGGTGCTGTTTTTCCTCAGCAGGGGACTGAGGGAGAGGACCCTGTGGTCATCGCAGCCACCCTGAGAGGTTCAGGTGTAGTGATGGTCACGGCACCGCTGTGGGTTGGAGGCTGTTGCTGGGGAGACTTTTGTGGGCATTCGTCCACTGTGGATAATAAAGGGGCCGAGGGACAGATGCGTAAGGGAAGCAACGTGAGCTTTCTGTCACCCTGTTAGGGGACAAAAGCTGGGTCAGACGCCAGGGGTGGAGGGTCAGAGGCCACCTGTGACCCTTGCTGCTTCCAGAATGGAGTCCCCGGGGCTGATGCTGCCGAGCGAGGCCGTGAGCCAGGGTGCAGCTATGCTGTGGGTCCTGGGTGTGGGCTCAAGTGCTTAGCAGGGAGTCCAGGCCCCGGGGCCCAGTGCTCAGCTCTGCCCAGTGACAGTCCGGCCATTGGCCTTGGCACCCTGGCAGGACGGCTACTCGAGGCTCCTGACCTGAGGGACACTGGAGGAGGAGCTGCTGACCTCAGCCCCTTGTGCTGGGAGGGTGCCCCCTGCCCCAGGCCCGTGGTCAGATCGCACAGAGCCCTTAGCGGGCTCAAGGCTCAGCGACCTGGTTATAGTAACACGAGGGGCAGGCGCACATCCAGTGTGTCATCCATGCAGTGTTTATCACGTGCCTGGTCCTGGCTGGGCACTGGTCCTCAAGGCAGTGTGTGCTGAGGAGAGAAACGGGCTGGGGATGGGCATGACCAGGCAACTGGGAGGGGACACCCAGAGAAGGAGGAGGTGTAAAGTCCAGTCCAGGGCATCAGCAGAAAGTCCCTAAAGCTCACAGGGGCAAAAGGAGGCTTAGAGGAAGTGGCAGGGCTGATCCCTTGCAGTGACCGTCAGTGGGAGATCTCGTGTTCCACACCAGTGCTGGGTGTGGAGGAGGGAGTCCACACCCGTGAGGCCGGGCCCTCTGCAGTGCTGCAGGTCAGTTGGAACTGCTCAAGCATGACGCAGGCCCTGGCCACCCCGCTGTGGTCCAGTTGCCCTGAGCTTGGTGATGACGTTGGCCCGAGAGGTTTTACGGCTCAGAGCCGTGCATGAACGCGGGGTGGGCACGCGTGCCTGTCACGCTGGCCTCCTAGAAGTGAGCTGCACGTTGGACGCAGGTCGGGTCCTGGAGCTGCATTGCAGGCAGGGACAGGAGGTCAGGGGACTGCACACTGCCCACGAGCTGTGCGTCCAGAGCCGGGGCCCAGACCCAGGAGAAGGCCCGGGCCTCGGGGCAGGTGGCACAGGACGCCAGGGCAGCGAGGAAAAGCGCCTGGCTCCCGAGTGAGGCGAGGCTCCCACCAGCTCCTGGAGCTCTGCCGGGAACGCAAGTGCTGCCTCTGCGGCTTCCATTTCCAAAGCCCGTTAAATCGGTCCTTTGGTTACACAATTCCTCTGTCTGTGTTTTTCTTCCACGATGTAAGGCAAACTGTAAAAATAACATTTTGGATCCCTTTCCTTCCCTCCCCCGGGGGAAGGATCAGCTCGGTTGGAGAAGGAGGTTTTGTCTGTTGGCGATGGCACGGTTTGCATGGGCGGCAGGCGTGGTAGGAGGGAAGAGGGTGGACGCTGCCCTGGACACCTGGCCCTGGACACGTGGAGGGCGCAGGTGTGGTGTGACCCACCCGGCTGTCACCTCTCTTCGCAGCTCGTCCTTCCAGACCATCTCCTGTCCAGCATCCAGCATCCCACTAGGAGTGTGTGCAGTGTGCCGTGTTGGTGGCTGCCCGTTGTAATCGTCTTGGGCCAGGTCCCCCTGCCACCAGCCACTGTGTCCTTCCACACAGTGCGAGCGCACAGCACAGCACGACATGTTAGCAGTTTCCCGTTTCCGAGCCCCACCTGTCTGGCTGGGCGGTGGCTGCCGCCTCTCTGCTGTGGGCAGCAGGTGATTCCGTCTTCCCAGCGCCTGCCAGTCTCCCCTTTACCCTCAGACAGGTGCCACCTGTTGCCCCGGTCGGACTTTACAAGGACTGTTTCATCTGAGTTTGCTTTCCTTGCACGATGGGTTTCAGGTGATGCTGAAGTCCAGATTCCCCGCTTGCATTAATGGGACTGATTTCTTCTAGAACAAAGGCACATCTGGTACTTTCCACGTGTGTCCAGCAGCAGTGGGTTAGCTTGCGTGGGAGACGCTGGGTGAAGGGCCAGGGCGGTGGTCGGGAGGGCGCTCGGATGGCCGAGGCAGGCGGCGGTCGGAGGCACTAACCCCGGACTCCCTTGCCTCCTGACAGTGACCGAGAGCCGGGGCATCCTCGAGAGCATCCAGAGGTTCTCCCTGCTGCCCACCTACCTGCCGGTCACCTACCACATCAACAACGCGGACGTGTCCTTCTTCCTGAAGGAGGCCAACCAGGACATCATGCGCAACTCCAGCCTGCAGTCCCGGGTCGAGTCCTTCCTCATCTACAAGGCCAAGCAGCTGCCAGCGCTCAATGCCAGCTACGGGCCCTTCTCCATCGAGCAGGTGGTGCCCCAGGACTTGATGCTGCCCGCCAACCCCTTCGGCGTCACCAGCACGTTCTCCCTGAACTGGAAGCTGAAGGCCGCGGTCCTGCGGGAGAAGATCTACCCCAGCCGCCCCAAGGTGCAGGTCCTCTTCCACCTGGCTGGCCGGGAATGGACTGATGCTCGGCCCACGGAGAGGCTGCCCTGCCTGCGCGTCTTTGCGTTCCGAGAGACCCGGGAGGTGCGGGGCAGCTGCCGGCTCGCCGGGGTCCTGGGGCTGTGCGTGGCGGAGCTGGAGGTCCCTGCCGCGTGGTTCAGCCCCCCGACGGTGGTGGCCGGGAGGAGGAGGCCGGTGGAGCAGCCCGAGGGCAGCCCGGTGGAGCTGTATTACTCGGTGCACCCCGGGGATGCCCACGGGGACTGCACCCAGGGGGACCGGTGGAGGACCAGCGGCCTTCGGACAGGTCACAATGACATCGACGAGGCGGGGCCACCCTTGCACAGGATCGGGAGCGTCGTCCTCTACCAGACTCACGGCAGCCCGGCCCTGAAGGAGCTGCGACTGGACGGCAACGTGGCCGTGCACTACGTTCCCAGGGCGGTCAGGCGAGGCGACGTGCTCACCTTCCCCATCTCCGTCTCGAGAAACTGCACGGAGGACCGCTTCACGCTGAGGTGAGTCTGCTCCCGGCAGCCCTGGTGGGCACCGCTGGAGGCCACCCTGTCCTTCAATGCAGAGGTCACGGGTGTCTCTAAGAGGCACACCTCAAAGGCCTGCGGGCTCCATTCTCAGGGCCATGCCCAGAGGCCAGTTTGATTTCTGGGTCAGCAGTGTGGTGGTGGAAATATCTGTGTTCCCAGATTTCCTGGACATCTCAGGGCAGGTGGGGACCCTTGTGTGATTCCCGAGCCTTTGGTGAGGTTAATCTACGAGTTTTGGGGTGCTGAGTTTGCCTCCTGCACCAGGGAGTCGAATTCTGCCCAGATGCTGTGTGATTGCTAACGAGAGGCCGAAGTCCTCAGGCAGATCTGCTGACTCCAGATCCACTCCGAACATGCGAGTTCTAAGTATAATGTTGCACCGACCTCAAAGTTACCGTTTGGTTTCTCCCTGGAAATAGAGCTCAGTGTTCAAAATATAAAAGACCGTGAAGAGCAGAGAATAGAGAGTAGAGCTTCTTGAATATCTTACATAAGAATATCCAGGGACAAGGCATTTAAAGAAACTGTCGTGCGCTGGGGAAAGCGCATTCTATATTTCTGCTTGGGATGTAGGAGAGGAGGTCTGTGCCTCGGCTTGATTGCATTTCCATTAAATAGTTTTATTTTAAACACAGATAGTTTGCCTGCAGCAGCTATGTAGGACAAGCGTCCCTGATTGACTGAGAATGTCCCAGCTCTGCTGTGCAAGTCTTTCTGCGCATTGTGACCCTTGAAAACGGGGTGCGTGCCAGACACACTTTATGTGTGACTTTTAGGAATTTGTCCCACACTGGTCTGTTTCCTCGTCCCTCTTGATCTGGGTTTTACAGCTTTTATCCTGCGCTTCCTCTTTGCTTGGTGAAGGAGGGGTGTGGCTGAGCACAAGAGCTGCATTTTGCTGGTCCCTCCAGTACTGAGGGTTCATGGGCTGTGACCCGGCGTCCAGAATTCGCTTCTGATTTTAGTTGAAGAAGCAGACACTAATGAACGGCCTAACCCAGTGATTGGCCTCGGCTCAGCTGGGAGGCAGCCTGCTGGCGTGGTTGGACGCTGGACGTGCGCGTGGGATTAGCTAGAGATTTAGGGCACATAAAGACATCTGCGGGGCTTAGCCTGTGCCGCGCGTCCTTCTGTCCCGCTCTGGAAATCGGGACGGGTCGCATCTGCTCGCAGGTCCTCCCATGGCCCAGGAGCTGTGCTTTTGCTTTTTCGGGTTTGACAGGCTTATGTAATACTCTTTGCGGAGTTGGCTGCTTCTATAGAGAAGTACTTTGCCTAGAAACCCAGCACCCACGGGTGTGGGCCGGCCATCCCCCTGGCTCTGCCTCTGCCCTGGGAGGCCAGACTTCCCGTACGCACTGGGGTGCATAGAAGTTGTCCCCCCCGCCTTCCCTGCTGCCCCCCGTGTTTGCAGACTGAGGCTGAGACCAGCCTCCCCGGCAGCTCTGGCCCTTAGGAGGTGAGCGGCGCATCGGCCTGGTTTGGAGACAGTTGTGCATGTGATGCCGAGTCTCACCAAAGCCTCTGTGCCTCACCACTCTCTGGAGACAGGAAATGGGTCTCCCGGGTCCAGAGGCAGCCTCCTCTGGAAAACTCCTTTAGGAAACCCAGGAAATGTGCTTTCCAGGGAGCCTGGCCTTTTCAGGTTCATGACAGATGTGTGGGAACCAGGTACCTCGGGTCTGAGTGGGAGCCAAGGGCTGGACCCCTGGTGCAGAGCTAAGGAGTGTCCGCTCAGGGTTGGTCGATTAGAAGGGTGTTTACAGAATCAGATTTCCGGGCAGTGGTGCCGTCAATATTTCCTGAGTGTGCACCGAGCTCCGGCAGGCGGGCGCCTGTCTGTAGCGCGTGTGCACGAAGGATCCGTGTGCTGTGTCCTAGGCCTCTCACCGGGGATGGGTCGTAGCTGGGTTTGCAATGCAGCTGCAGGAAAATTTAGGCCTGGCAGTGTTACCAGCAGTTTGAATTCCCACAATCAGAAAATAATCAAGCTTCAATGCTTTCCAGAGGAAGTCAATCTGACACCAGTTTAGCTCGCTTCCAAATGTTTGGAATGAGTGTGGGCCTCTCTCGCTGGCCATCTGCTATAAATAACCTGAAGGATAAGCCAGATGCCCCTGGTGCTTTTCTCTGAGGCTGGATTTCATTTCTGAGTCAGGGCTATCTCAGTCCAGCCCCGGCTCCTTTCTGATAGGCCAGATGCTGGCTGGACCACTGTGGCCCTGGAGGATGGTGGGGAGGATGAGCCTTGCTGCGGAGGGCGCTGTCCAGGGTCCCAATCTGGGGCTGAGGCCGCAGCTGTGATCTGCATTCCTCCTTGACAGGGATGAGGTGGGGGACCAAGTAGCCCACGCCTTCCTGGCTCTCATCCGAGGGCCTGTGATCTCAGGGGCTGCCTCAGTGAGCACGGAGGACTCAGGAGGGCGGCTTCTGTTCCAGGAGCCATGTTATAAGTAAAGATGTTTTTAAAAATAGCTCTGTGTGTGCCTGTGTCCCTTTGAGAACGGGAAACCCCGGCTGGGGCTATTTGTCACCCTCCAAATCCCCTTCTGTCCTGCTGTTCCTGTCTTCTAAGCAAAAGTTTGCAGAAGCAAACAGAATGCTTTCATTCCTCAGGCCACTGAGGATCCTTTTGAATTTCAGAGAAGGTGACCTTCAAGGGGACAGCTGACACTCTCCACAGCACCGCCCACAAAGTATGGGGTTCAAAAGACCGGGGTCTGGGGAAGACTGCACGTGGATGCTTTCTTTCCTTCCCAGCAACACCAGCTGTGGCTCTATTGCGTCCCCACCCTCACTCCAAAGGAGTTCCGGTCCTCAGATCTGCGCTGGAGGCCAGAGCCCACTGTTCGGGTGGCGTTACCTCAGTTACCCAATAGCTCAGAAAGTTCAGGTGGGGCCCAGAGTCGCACGACACAGCTCGGCTGAGCAGCGGCTTTTATCAAAATCAGGGGCACCTTCTGTCTGCCGGAGGGAGGGGCTGACCGTTGGTCAGTACGGGGCACACTGCGTAATGTCCCGGAATCTGCTGAGGCTGGGACCAGATGCCGGACAGGTTGGATAAGCAGTCAGCACGGAGGATGTTTCCTCGTCAAGATGAAGCTGGCAAAGGGAAGATCAGCCGTGGGAAACTTGGTGGTGTCGAAACCCAGCCTGGGCAATTTGGAGATAAACCATTGAAGGGTTAACTGGGGGCCGGTACAGCTCTCCTGTAGGAACTTGGGGTCGGGGTGCTGCGCTGGGGTGTGGGTGCCCAGCCGCTCCTCCTCCACCTATGGGGAGTCCCTTCCGTGGTCCTGTGCTTGGTAAGAGGTGGCGCCCCCACTGGTTCACGGCCAGGCCAGGAGGGGCCTGCGTGGCTCCTGTAATGGCAGTGGCTTCCTAAGGTCATCGGTCACAGGACGGTGTCCCCACTCACGCACGTCCCCGTTCAGGTTCCCTGCTTTTGCTAGGTCCTCTGTTCCCGCAGGGCCGTGTGCAGAAATCCACGCAGGGCTCGGTCTCCTGCCTCCTGGGAGCCCTTGCTGTGAGCTCGGTGAGGCCTTGGAAGCTCGGCTGTGCCCACCGCCCAGGACGGGTGTCGGTGGTCGCCCTCGGCGGGATCTGCTGACCCAGGCTCTTGTCCTGTGCTTTCCACCACGTGCTGTCATCAGCAGTGCTGCAGCCTGGCCGTGGGCACCTTGTCACCTGCCGAGGCCCCGTGCGCCAGCTCGGTGGAGGCCGAACACCACCACTCACTCACGCACACCGGCGCACACCCACGCACACGCACCCGTGCTCCTCGGCTGGGAGGAAGCGCCTGTCTGCAGTGGGGGTGGGGTGGGGTGCGCTTTGCTCCCTGCAGGGAAACAGCCCGGAGTCCCTGGGGTCCCCAGGTGTCGCCCACTCACCTTCACTTACCTACTTATTCAGCGACATTTACCGTATAGTGTTCTCAGTGCAGGACCTGATACTTGTACTTCACTTGGGGTTGGAATCTGCTATTATTTTGTTGTTCAAATTATCCTCTGGCCAGCAGAGCTCTGTCAGTGTGGGAGGAAGTGTGTGAGTGTGTGTGTGTGTGCACGTCCATGTGTGTGGGTGAGTGTGCATGTGCATGTGTGTGCATCCACGTGTGTGAGTGTGTGTGCATGGGTGCAAGTGCGTGTGCGCGTGTGTGGGTGTGGTGTGTGTGCATGCACCTTGTCCCTCCCTGGTACAGACCTGTCTTGTTTCTCACCACTGTTACGTGTATCTTCATCAAGCCCAGCAGCTTCTCTGCAGCCCTCATTTGCTGAGAAGTTTTCTTTTCCCCCTTTGTGAGTCGCACCTCCTGTTGGACTTCAGGTTTTCCTGTGCTAATGTGATCACATTCCTCCTCCCGCCTCTGGTGTGCATTGCTCTGATAAACGTTTGAACGTTGAGCCTGGAGGAAATTCCTCTTCCTTACGGAGTTCAGCCCCACTCGCAGACTGCCGGGTTCTCTCCGAGGACCCGGGCCCCTGCAGAGTGAGACGCAGCGCGCTGTGGCTGCGGGTCCGTTCCGTTTCCCCGCTTGTGATGTCTTTCCGTGGCTTTGCTGTCCTGGGAGAATGACTTCCCTCTGCTCCTTTTTGGAGGAGGAGAGTGTGGAACAGAATAATTCGTTTGTTAAATGTTTGGACGATTTCACCAGTAAATCTGTCTGGGCCCGGTGACTTCTCTTTGGGGAAGTTCTTGGTTATTCTTCCTGTTTTTCTAATAAAGAGAGCCCTTTGGGTGTGTATTTCTCCTGGTGACTGTTATTTTGTGTATTTTGCTGATTCAATCCATTTTATTAAAGTTGTAAGATGGGTGGTCAAAAAGTTGTCTGTTGTATCTTACTATCTCTTTTTTTCATTGTTTTGTGGTTTTGCTTTTTACTTTTAACTTTTTTAAATTGCAAACTGACAGATTATGGTGTGTCTATTTTTCTTTTCTTTTCTTTTTGGTAGCGAGGATCTAACTCATGACCT